ATCCAAAAAAGTCAAAGATGGTCCTAGTTCAGCAATTGCCAAAGCTCGCAATCGACGAAGAAAACAATCAGAACCCAAAAGAGCGATGAGCAAACTCACGCAACCAAAAACCAAGAAAGACGATTCTTTAAGAAAGCACGGTCAACATCCACCTCCTCTTCTCCTCGAAGACCCAATACAATGTGATTATTGTACCGCTATGTTTAATAACAACGTTGATTTCGCTTTTCATTCTTTAAATCACAGTACAGATAAGAAGTATACGTGCCATTTGTGCAGCTACAGAAGTTTGTATAAATACAAAATGGGAATACACGTGAGAACGCACGAAGGAACCAATCGGTTTAAGTGTGACATCTGTGGGAAAGCTTTCATGGGTCAGAAGCAAGCTCAAGAACACAAAAACTTTCATACTGGTGAAAAGCCGTTTCAGTGCGAGATTTGTGGGAAAGATTTTATGTTTTCTTCAATGTTGGCAACTCACAGGAGGAGCTACCACTACGAGATTCTTACAGGTAGGTGAAAAAGTATAGAAATATGAAATTGTTTTACAAACTTGAAAACAGGTGTTTTATTGGGAATACAGTATATCGATTTTAAAACTTACAATCGGCTGTATCTCACGAATAAAATATCAAAAAATGCTTGAAACTGTTTCTAGGATAGTAAGAAGGAACTAAAATAAAATGAAAGAGAACTCACCCCCATCAACCCCTAGGCCCCACCCACCACAACCAAAAAAGTTTAAATTGAAAACCACTACTTGTGATACATCATTGAAAATACTATAAAAAATGCTATCCTATGGTATCAATAATAATTATACAAGGTGAAGCAATAATTATGAAACTTTTTCTCAAATGGAAAATTTAATGAGGTTTTTGTTAAATTTGTTAAAAATGTCAATTAAGTAAATGTTTAAAGTGGGTTTCGTTGTTTTGTAAACAATACTATAGCCTATTTTCAAATTCTACAAATTTGGCAAATGTTGTTCTAGTAATAACGCGACATGCTTGCGTAATTCTTTTTCGCAATTCCCCAAGTGACGCTGGTTGAGTTTTATAAACAGCTGACTTGAGGTAACCCCATACAAAAAAGTCAGGTGGCGGTAAATCTGGTGACCTCGGTGGCCACTCAATAGAACCTCTCCTTCCAATCCATTTGTTCGGATAATTAGTATCCAGCCAGTGCCTTACTGGAGCTGCATAGTGAGGATGCATCCGTCTTGTTGGAAGTGAAGCAAATCTTCGTCTAGAGCTAGGTTGCCTTGATAGTCCCTTTGGTTCTCTAATTCGTGCAGAATCAAATATATGATAGTGTTTTCCAGCATATCGAGATAAATTACGCCACTTAAATTGCTGGTATGAACAAGGAGCCAATTATAGCATCGCCTAATATTTCTGCCCAAACATTTAGTTTTTTTAGGATATTGAATCGATGTGAGTTCGCATCACTCTAGTACCGACAGGCTTGTCGTAAAAACACATTCATCAGTAAAATAAATATTTTTTAACATTCTCGGTTCCACGCGAATTCTTTCAGTCATGAGTTCACAAAACTCAATTTGTCGGTCTGGTTCATCATCGCCTAGTTTTTAGAGAATTTTTGTTTTGTACGGGTGAAACTTATGTAATTCCAATACTTTTCTAACCGACTTATGTAAAATTCCTGTCATTGCATCTACTTGACGTGTTGCAGTAGGCTCTATTGCAAAATTTCCAAGGATCTCAATTTGGAAAGCTTCATTCAGAAATCTTGGGGCATCTCTTTTTTTATGTTGCACTGATCCCGTTTCTCTAACTTGTCAGCTAAATCGCGGACGTACACGTGACTTACATTTTTCTTCGGATGCCTTTCATGAAATATTTGAGCTGTTCGTAAATAACACTGGTTCTGGGAGGCAAATATGAAAATGATCTCCACGCGTTTAGATATACTGTAAACCATCGTGACAACTACAGCTGAATGACAGTGATCGTAAGAATGATGAAAACTAATAACATTTAAAATTTTCAAAATAAATAAAAAATCATTGAATCTGACAGAACTAAAAAAAAACAGATGTTTTCAACTTGTTTTGCAAAAACGGTAAATTATGTTTTTATTTAACAAAAAAAAAAATTCTACGGGTACTTATCATTAAAAAAAAATAGCCCGGGAGGTAGCATTATAAATGCAAAAGTCATAGAAAGTCGGCTGATATTTACACCTTGTATAATTATTAAACAATAATTATACAGGGTCATCAACAGAATCAACAAAAACCTCATTAAATTTTCCATTTATGAAAAAGTTTCATAATTATTACCTCACCCCGTATAATTATTATTCATACAATTGTATCTATCTAATTAGCCTTCTTCGGTCCATCTTTGGACATAGGCCTCCCCAATCCTTTTCCATTCTTCTCTGTCTGTCGCAACAGTCATCCATCTAGAGCCCACGTGCTTCTTGATATCATCTGCCCATCTCATTTGGGGCCTTCCTCTGCTTCGTTTATATTCCCACGGTCTCCAACTTATAAGAATTTCGTTCCATCGGTCTTCTTTTTGTCTTATATTGTGTCCGGCAAATCTCCATTTCAATTTTGCAACTTCTTGTCTAACATCCCTCACTTTTGTTTTCTCTCTTATCCACTCGTTTCTCTTCTTATCCATTAGTCTTATATTACAATTGTATAGCATTTTTTATATTCTTTTCAATGATCTATCACAAGTAGGGGTCTGTGATTTGAACTTGTTTGGTTGTGGTAGGTGAGGCCTAAGAGGTTGATGGGAGTGAGTTCTCTTTAATCTCATTTTAGTTCCCCTTTACTATCATAGAAACGGTTTCAAGCATTTTTCGATATCTGCATTTGTTCGTGAGGTATAACCCATTGTAAGTTTTAAAATCGACACACTGTATATACTAACAACAGCTCTTGTAGGCCTTTTGCTGAATATTCTTTCCTCAACACTCTCCTGTCCACAACCTTTTCTTTCCAGTTTCTAATTTGTTCCTCTTTAGATCATCCATAATCATATCTCATCTGTCTTTTTCTGGGCCTTCCTTTTCTCCATTGTAGGTCAGGTTTTTTGAATGCAATATCTTCGTTTCATTTTTTATTCTACCTAAATATCCTACCCATAATAGTTATCGTCCATCTTTTACTTACAACTTTACACATTTCAGGTTCTTTTAGATGTTCAGACAGTTATTTGTTATCTGTCCTTCTCTCCCATGGTTCTTCTGTTAGTCTCCTACCATGTATTCTGCTCCTTTTTATTATATTTTCCCAAAATTTTTGTCATATTCTTGAACCGTCCTTTTATCCACCTGCACTTGTTGTTCATCTCTTTTGATATAATTTATAATGTTCTGAGCATTGTACATATAATCTGTTTGTTTTCTATTAAGTATTTGCGTCATACATGCAGAAATATCGACTCCAAAGTATATACCAGACAAAGTATATTTATCAGCACAATTGTTGTGCCATAATTGTGTGCCAGGTTACTATAGTCAGTTCTAATTGTTAACATGTTCAATTAGCCCTATTCATATCTGCTTCTCTATAATTAGTCCAGAAAAATAAGATTTTTCTCGTGAGACTGACCCCGCCAGGCAAACGATAGTTGTTTTGAGTAGTATGTACCTTTAAAACAAGAACCTATATCTATTAATTCATAATTTTATTATGAGGAAGAAATCTAGAACAAAAGACAATCTTTTCAAAAATGAAAAAATTAATTTTCTAATACAAATCGACATTTTGCAAAACATGGACATATTTTTGCAAAATGATTTTGCAATGTTCAAAATTGTTTTTTCTTCTTTTTTATAAGCTACCTGTAAAATTACTGTTACTTCATTATTTTCTGACTTATTTTGTTGCAAAAAAAATTAATTGATTTGGAAAAAACAAATAAAATAACTTTTAAAATAGTTGACCCATCGCTTTGACCACAATTTTGCCCACATTTTCTCATGTCCCAACATTTCATGTAATATGAAGGTTCCAAGTTAATTTTTAAAAGATTTATTAATATATAAATGAAACCGAAATCTCTGACTTATTTTGCAACTTTGTTAGCAACAAATAAGAGAAAAAAACTTTGTTAGCAACAAATAAGAGTAAAACATTTAAGGTTTTTATATGTTTATTACTCTCTAAATTTGTTTAAAATGCTTCACTTTTTGCTGATAGACGAAAAAAGTAAAAATTTAGCATTTTTTGACCTTAAATTTGTTAATAACTAATAAGTCCAAAAATCGACTGCTTGAAACATATAGGTTCTTCTTATAGAGGTCCATACTATTCAAAACAACTGCCATTTGTACTTGTTTTGCTTATTTCCCCGAATTAAATACAAGTCAATACAATTTAATAGTAATTCTAAATCCATTTTGATATGCCTTTATTTGTTTTAGGAAAGCCACTGGTAAAATTCGACTGCATTGAATGCAACAAACATTACAGATCTGCAGAAGGTCTCCGAACACACATCATAAAAATCCACAAAGCCCACGAAATAGACCTGACGGTTATCTGCGAGATATGCGGCAAAAAACTGGCAAACAAAAAGAGGCTCAAGTTTCATCTTAGTATACATACAGGCCACAAACCGTACTCATGCCATGTATGCCCAAAAAGCTTCGCTAAGAAAGATCAGCTTGTGGAGCATATACGAACGCACACAGGCGAAAGGCCGTATGTTTGCAAACAGTGTGGTAAAGGGTTTGCTCAGAGAACACCGTTGAAAACCCACGAAAGAACACACGTCGACAAAACTTGTACCTGTAATCTGTGTGGTTTGGCGTTTAAATCAAAAACTGAGCTGGAGAGTCACATTAAGGGTCCCTTACATCGTTGGTCATAAATATATTTTTTTCATATAGTACTATACACCTTGCCTCCTCATATTCTTACATCAATATGTTTATTTCAAAGGACATCCAGATTGTTGAACTTTGTGACATCGAATTTATCTTGAAAATTATGTCATAAATTGGTTCAAAAAATGGTTAATGAACAACTAGTTTTAGTCTTCAAATTAAGGTAGGCAGAAATATAAACTGGAAGACTGACACGGTGTAAGGATCTTTAAGACTGACATCAAAAGCTCTAATATTGTTTATCCAAATTCTTAATAATTTCAAATATTTTTCTATTATTGTGTTATTTTTCTGTATTAAATATATAAAATATTACCAATTGTTTTGAATACTTTTTAAAGCGAAGATTTTTAATACACGTTCGGAATGTGGAGTCTAATAATTGGAGAACGTTAAACGGCATGGAGGTTTGTAACGGAAGCTGCTCCTTATTGGCCGGGAACGTATATTATTTATTGTCCGTGCAGCTGGGCGACAAGCGAAATACCCCAGTCAATCTGTTAAAAAATCATCGTTTTTACATAAAAGTCTTCTACAATTTTTTAAATGGGACACCCTATAAGATTTTTTTAAATTTGTATTATTCTCATCTTTTTTGTTCGTATAGTATTGTATTTTGCATTATTGTATTACTATACAGAGTATTTAACAAGTTATGATAATTTTTATTTCGAAATCCCTGTGAAATCAACACCATGTATAAAAAGAAGTAATGCATAAACAATTATTTATTTTATACAATAAAGTAAACAATATATTGTACTTTCAAACCAAATTTAATTGAAATCATTGACAAAAATTACGAGTTTTTAATTTTTTTTTAAACGGATCACCCTATATTTTATTTTTAAAAATATTGTATTTGATACTCTTTCCCTTTCCTACTCTTTCCTTACTCTTTCCTCTTTCTGAAGAAAAATATTCGATAAGACCTCAGTGCTTATAGAACAAACCAGATTCTTGAAACCATAGAAAACAGTAAGAACATGAAAGTAATAAAAAAATGTAAATCCACTGGCAGGAATAAAATCATAAAGATAAAAGACGACCGTGGAACATTGTGTTCGCATAAGAAAGAGATCGTTAGAGAAATCCGAAAATTTTATGAGAAGCTGTATACTTCTACTATTCCGAACCCCGGTATACCAACAAAACATATCTTAAATGTGGGCTCAGAGGACTTCCCTGAAATAATAACATCAGAAATTAGAGCCGCCCTAAAACAAATGAAAAATGGGAAAACACCAGGAGAAGATAAAATTACTTCAGAGATGCTAAAAATGGGAGACACTGCATTAGAAGAGGCAATAAGAGCATTACTGAATAAATGCCTATTGGAAGGACAAATACCGAAGGCATGGAAAAATGCGGAAGTCATTCTACTCCATAAAAAAGGGGACGCCGTAAATATAGAAAACTACCGACCAATAAGCTTATTGTCACACCTTTACAAACTACTAACCCGAATAATAACAAATAGATTGACAGCTAAACTAGATGCATTCCAACCAGTGGAGCAAGCAGGCTTTCGTAAGGGTTTTAGCACTATCGATCACTTGCAAACAATCCGGACAGTTATTGAAAAAACAATAGAGTACAACATACCACTACATCTGGCATTTGTCGATTATCACAAAGCATTCGACAGTATCGAGAAATGGGCTTTCTTAACAGCATTGGACAACGCCAGAGTAGATTCAAGATATGCTGCCCTCCTTAAGAATATATACGATGATGCTACTTTTCACGTAAAAATAGATGATGATCTGGAAACTATGAAAATAGACCTTGGCAAAGGTGTGAGACAGGGCGACACCATCTCACCCAAGTTATTTACTTTGGCATTAGAAAATGTTTTCAAAAAACTAAATTGGGCCGAAAAGGGATTAAAAATAGATGGAGTATATCTTAACCATTTGCGTTTTGCAGACGACATAGTACTAATAAGCACAGATATCCATGAACTAAAATCAATGCTACAAGATTTAAATCACAAATCGAATCAAATAGGATTAAAAATGAATCTCGACAAAACAAAGATATTAAGCAACAGTCTAGAAAACATCACGATAGATAACATCAATATAGAAAAGGTAGAACAGTATATATATCTAGGACATGCAATTAAAAACGAAAAGGAAAATCAAACCCTAGACATTAAAACAAGGACACAATTGTCATGGGCTGCTTTTGGTAAGTTGAGCTTCATTTTAAAAGACAGAAAAATCCCAATTCACTTAAAACGAAAAACCTATGACACTTGTATACTACCAGTTGCAACTTACGGATTGGAAACTATGGCAATAACAAGAAAAATGGCAGAACAATTAAGAGTAACTCAACGGGCCATGGAGTGAGCCATGTTAAATATAAGCCTCAGAGACAAAATTCCTAACACCGAAATACGTCGAAGAACTAAAGTTACCGACATCATGGGAAAATAGCGACATTGAGATGGTAATGGGTAGCACATGTAGCAAGACAAGACACCAACAGATGGTCTCATAAAGTGACATTCTGGAGACCTCGAGAAACAAAAAGAAGCGTGAGAAGACCTAAAAAGAGATGGATAGACGATATAACTGCTGTTGCTGGAAAGCAGTGGATGAGAGTTGCAAAAGATAGGGAAACTTGGAAGCAATTGGAGGAGGCCTATGTCCAACATTGGATAAATGAAGGCTGAAGAAGAAGAAGAAGAAGACCCTTTCCCTATAAGACTCTTGACCTATATGAAGGATCTGTTTACATTTCGAAACCTTCAACTCTCCATTCATTGCTAAAATTACCTGAGTATGTTTATGGTCGATGGGAAAAGTCATTTTTCAACTTGCGTTGCTGCTGGAATTTTTGGCATGACTCAAATCGATAATTTGGAAATTACTAATGATCGTTTCATTGTTATGACTCTTTGACAACTTTAGATGCTTATATCTAGAATGTTCTTTTAAATACAATTGATAAAAAAATTAAATAAAAATATTTAATGTTGTTGTTACACAACAATTAGCATAATTTTTGGTCTCGCAAAACTTTGTAGTTAAGTAATAGCACCCTATTGCCAGACTTTCGCAACCCTATATAAATACTTTATAGTAAATTAACTACCCACAGTAAGTATAACTTGCTACATAATTTATGGTACAACACTTTTAACATATATTCCGCATTTTAGAGAATTACACCGAAAACGTTCACTAAAAAGGCTAAAAACCAATTTGAATCCCGATGGAAAACAGAAAATTATAAGGTCCAAAATAATAAAACGAAACAGCGAAAGACCTAGAAAGAATCCTCATCATCCACCACCTATGAAACTTGATGAACCAATAAGTTGTGACAATTGTAGCGAACAATTTGAAACTAATCTTGCATTTGCCTATCATTCTTTAACGCACAATGTAGATGGAAAGTACTCTTGTCATTTGTGCCAATACCGGAGCTCCTACAGGTAAATTTTGTTTGATACTTATGATAAAATTAATCAATATTTTAAAGAACTTGCATCTATTGGATATTATGATTGTTCTTCTGTCTTAAACTCTAATCACTGGTTTGTGTTTAGTCAATGTTTATTATGATTCTGTTTTCTCCTTTGTTTGTGCATTCTTTTAAGTTTTTCCACAAAAGCTTTTATTTTTAACCTTGATATCAAACGTTTTCTCAGTGTATATATTATCAACTCTTAAATTATCTGTTATTTTATTTGTTTTTGTGAATATAATAAGTAGTTTCCGACACAAATAATGAAATTAGCATTATAGCAGATGATTTTAACCCTAGATTGCTATATTTATTTTCTGAACTCAATCTCCTACATTAAGTAGACGGGTACAGTGGTATCCCAAATTAAATCGACTTAAAAATATTGATATATGTATATTTACGAACTTATGACAAAACAATCTTAAGATAACATGCTTATATAACAAAAGTATACAAAAATATTTTTTTTCAATAGCTAATGTTAAAGTGTTGTTATAGTTGTTAAAGTATAGTTAAAGTGTTGTTTTGAGTAGATAAAGTATCACTTTAACCGCAAGGCTAGATAAAGTGACACTTTAACAGCAAGAGTAGATAAAATGTTTTAACTTTTTTTTGTTCAATAAAATTTACAAATTGAAACACATTAAGGATTTAAAACAACTGAAATTTTACAATTAACATTATTAGAAATATCTATTTTTGGAGCATCACAATTTGTACTCGTTTGCTTAAACACTTGATTTGAGGTACTGGATTGATTTTCTGTAACATTTGTTTGACTTTTGTTGACAAAGTAATTCATATCCCTAGCAACGGAGCAACACAATTGCGACGATTTGTGTGCTAAAAATTACAATTTTCTTTGAAATTCTATTTTTCACCTAAACTGGACGTCTTGCTATAAAAAAAAATGTTGTATTGCACACGACGATAAAACCGCATTATCTTCTCGAGCATAATTAGCGTCTCGACTGACGTCTCGACGCTGAAAAACGCTCTCGAAGATATAAACAACTATTAGTATATTATCCACAAGCTGGGCATATGTTTTCTGGTGCTGCAAACAAATGAATTTTTTACATATACCACAGCTAACTCTGGATTGTCGATCTTCGCTTCTGGGACAAAATGTGCATCCACCTGTGGTAGCAACAGGTTTTATTGGTACTTTTACTGGATTAGGTATTTTTGTACATTGCAAATAGTTTCGCGAAGTTCGCGCCTCAAAGTCGAACATTTCAAACAACTTTCCATTTGAGATTTCACTAAATCCTTTTCCTGAGCATTAGAACCACGTAAAAGGATCATCGAGTTTATAGTTCGAGTGGGATCATTACTCATAGTATTTAGCAGGTTATAAAAAAGGCATAATGGCCAACGACGCGTCCATCTATTTGTAGAATATGTGTGACATACTTGGTCCAAGGTGTACACCCATATCTTAGTAGAATTGTAAAATCGAATAATCTCTGATTATAAATCTAAAAATTTAAAGATACATAAATAACTGCCGTGATATCTCCGAAAGAATAATACACATGAACATCACAATAGACTACCAAACATTAAATGTCATATCTATCTATAGCCCCGAGGACTGCAAACCTAAGAAGGAACGAGAGGCATTCTACGAACAATTGCAAACCAACCTGGATGAAATACCTCATTAAGAACCTTTAATATTCTTATGGATGATTTTATTACATGAATCGGAAATGAAATAGTTCCAGGAGTAAAACAAAGATTTAATGAAAACCATGTCAACGCAAATGGAGACAATGCTAATCTCTGTGCTTTTAACGAATTGAGAATCAGTAATACATTTTTCGACCATAAGCTTCAATATAAATATACATTTGAAAATCTGAATTTGAAACTTTAAACTTAGAAGACGCAGTGGGTGAACACAAACTAGTACTAGAAAAAATAAGAATGAAAATAACACCCAACCATTTTCTACAGGAAACCACCGAGGAAAGATTCAATGTAGAATTACTGTGGAACGACACTACGAGAGAAATGCACCAAAGGAGGCCAGCATAAAAGATACAACTGAAACAAATAGACGACATCGAAGATATAAACGCGAGCTGGGAGAAAATTAAAAACAATATTGAATAAGCAGCAACAGAAGCTCCAGGAAAACGCAAAGTCATAGAGTGCATCATCAATCATAGTGAACAAAAGAAACATCAACAATACACCATGGTTTACAAAACAAATAAAAGAGAAATGTAAAGAGAAACGAAAGGCCTACACGAAATACAAAACATCAAATACGGAATCCCGAGATACCTGTAGAAGAATACGAAATAAAACAAAACAGTAGATAAGAACTGAAAATGAACACTTGGAACAGTTTACAAAAAAGGATGGAAAGCGACTTCTACGGTACACAAAAACAAATATGGAGATTCATAAGAAACCAACGGAAAACAATGGCAGAATTTAAGGAATACAATAACATACTTGCCAACGAATGGGAAAGATTCATGACGGAACCGTTTAAGGGAAAGAAAAATAAAAATCAACACAATAACGTACCTGAATTAATTATACCAAATAGAAATCAGTTTTCAGTAAGTAGAGATAGCCATAAATTCACTCAAAAATAGAAACTCACCAGGACCAGACGAAATAACCAACGAGCCTCTAAAACACGGAGGAGGAAGTATAACCCTGGAGCTGATAAAACTTATACAAAAACTAATATTCCACTGCAAGATACCAGAAGCATGGAGAAACAGCATAACGATACCAATGTTCAAGAAAGGAAATAAAGAAGATTCCAACAATTATAGAGGTATTATTCGACAAGCGAGAGCTGGCGGGTGAGCTGCGTGAAAATAGAAAAGGAATTATTCTAAGAGAGATAGGAGAGGTACTTAATCGCTGGTGTCACAAATACGTAGTTGCCGTATCAAAAATTTAGTTGTGATCTGAAAATTACATTAATAGATGTTCCGTGGTTGTGTCATTGCGTGTGTGATAAACTTATTTACCACGAAAACAAAATAAAAATAATAATAATATTGAAAAAAACCTAAAAAAAATTTGTTAATAATATTTATTTTCATAAAACATAATTAATTCTCTAAGGAAGGTATTTTTGTATGTATCGCGGACTGATGCATTTTGTGTGTCTTAATGATTACTAAACTAAACACAACACAGAACACACGTTCTTTGTTTATTTTTCTAAGCCAAACGGTAAACTCAAGTATTATCGGCCTTTTATCTTGTGATGTTATTGCTTGCAATATCATATTTCGTTTCGTATTTATGAAAAATGCAACGTATTCAAATGTATAATTAAAATGTCCAGTATGTCTGTCATTTCTATTTCACATGTGTATAATAAATTACGATAATGTAAATTTTAACATGAAGAACTGTTATTTAATTTTTGAAATAATTAGCTTGTCGCTACAGATGTACGTTGTATTATCAATAATAGTGAACTGTAAAGTACTAATTAACTTATCCATTGTTTACTTATTATTTACTGGTATTTTTTTGTTCTGTAAGTTTTTATTTATTTATTGATTATAATTTTATTGATTGTAACTTAAATTATTTAAATCTGAATTTATTTTGAAAATGAGTATTATAATCACCAGTTAATTGAGCTACACGTTCTTGTATCTTTTTTAAATCAACCAAGACTTTATCTGCAGTAGCTTCTTCGGCTGTAAACTTAAAAACATTGAAAATTATTTCTCGTGCTTGAGATCCCAAAGGTTTGCCTTTTAATACACTTTTCATTTTAATAAATATAAATAATAGTTTATAATATAGGGCCACTCCAAATAAAAATGTAAATACTTAATACTGTCAGAAATCTAGCACTAATTACACGATGTGAACTCCTAGCCGACTGCAATAGAAATGAGCAATCCCTTCCACTTTTCAATTTCTTCTGCGCAACCCGCCAGCTCTCGCTTGTCGGATAATATACATCTACTGAATACCGCACTTAAGCTTACCACAAAAGTGCTAACCAAGAAAATCAATAAACTAACTTTATCTGATGAACAACAAGTATTCAGATACGGAAGATACTGTGTAGAAGCAGGACTAAGAAAAATCACAAAAACGGCCATCGAGTACAAAAAAACAGCATATCTATGTTTTATAGACATGACAGAGGCTTTTTGATCGCATCCAAGTCGAAAATGTCTAAGTGAGAGCGCCCACCAAAGTGGCGTGGCACGTAGCAAGTAGCAAGTAGCACGCGTCTAGCATGTTTCTTAAAATGTAACCAATGAAAACGAATGATTCAGCGTACACCAAAATGACAGTGACGTCATTCATTCTAATCATTCGTTAGGATTGGTTATATTTTAAGAAACATGCTAGACGCGTGCTACTTGCTACGTGCTACTTGCCACGCCACTTTGGTGGGCGCTCGCCCTTACACCTACTGTAAAAAAGAAACATACCAATCAATATTATACAATCCATCGAAAATATCTACTTCCATAATCGAATACAGGTAAAGATAAATGGAAAACTAACACAGTGTATACCAGTACAAAGTGGAGTTAGACAAGGTGACCCATTAAGTCCGCTTCTCTTTAAAGTAAAAATGGACGAAATAATACCAGTAGTACTTAAAGGTCATGGTTGCAGAATAGGGAACAATGAAATTCAAATATTATGTTACTATGTTAAATACTCTGACAGTATTTTAATGAAGAATTTAATATATAACCAGGTAAGCTAAAGGAAAACAGCAATGGTCACCAAAATAACAAACGAGAAAGCACTTCATAAAATAAACAAAGAAAACAGTTGGATCAGACGATGTCCCTAAGAACGTGTGGACAGCTTTAGGAAAGATATAATTGTGGTTTAATCTCCCATAAATACAATATTTAACTTAAACATGTCACAAAAAAACAGTTTTAGCAGTGAGTTAATGTTGTCTAATCCGGTTACTTATCCGAAATATTTTTTAATTTA